TTAACTTGCCTTGGCTCCTGTGGCAGAGCCAGACTCAATGGCCACATCTGGGAGCCGCAGATTGAACCAGGAAGGGCTGGGGACAGGAGCTCTTTTTGCTAGAGATCAGGAAAAGAAGCAGGCAAGGCTTCAGGGAACAAAGAAAATAAAGTCATAATAAAATTATTGGGTTTCTGTGGCTGTTCAGACTCCCTCCCCAACTGCTCACCAGGGAAGCATTCTCAGAAAATAGGAGATGGAGAGCCAGGAAAAGGGGAGAGAAACAGAGCAGGAGACAAGAGGGAAGGAAGAAAAGACCTGCCCCACCCACACGTGCGCTCACACACAGGGAAGCCGGTCTGTATGTTTCCGTCTGTTTCTGCCTATGTCTAAGTTCCTGGCATCTCCTTCTCGGCTTATCCCTCTGTGTCATGCAAGTCTCTGTGAGTATGTAAGTTTTGAGGGCATTTCTCTGTGTGTGTCCGTGTACAGCCTTGGGCATGCTTCACGTACATACACATGTGTGTCTCTGTGCATCTCTGCCCGCTCTGTGTATCCAGTCGTGTGTGCCTGCCTGCCTATGCATGCGATGCCTTCCGTGGAAAAAGTGTGCGCACAGGTTCCTGTGTCTGCTTGCCTCTGAGTATTTATCCGGGGCCTCTGAATTTTGAGGTTTGGGATAGAAGGGTCTTTTATTCCCCCTTTTTAACCCATCTGTGCAGGCCAGAAAAGGGGCCGGGGAGGCAGGCAGACGAGGCCACCTGTTCCTCTCCAGGCTTTCTCATCTTGGAAGAGGAGAGGCAGCAGTCAACCAAGGACTCACTGATGGAATTTCTCCCTGGCTCTCTAGATCCAGCTGCCATGCTGCTCAGAGAAGGGGCTAGAAACTAGAGCTGGAGAAACCCCTCCTTGGAATGAGAGGGGAAGATATGAAAGATAAATACTTTGGGGTCAGCGACTTTTTCTTTTCAGATATTATTGTTAAAACATTACCTCCTGGAACAGGGGCACCCAGGTCAAGGGGGACCCTAGACCCTTGGGAAAGGTTGCGAGGGTCTTTGTAGAGGCCTGAAGCCCAGCCCCACGCCTTTGCTTTGGCCCCTGCCTCCCAACTCTCACCTCCAGCTCCCTCTCAGCTCCATCAGGTCCCCTCCTGCCTCCTCCCAGGCCAAATGAGCCCTGTGAAGGGAAGGGAAAGTGGGGGCGGGGTGGCGTGGGAAACACCTGTAGGATGCTTTTTGGGAAGAAGAGGCTTCAGTAGCCCTGATGACAGAAAGCGGAGAGGAGATTTGATGAAAGGAATGGAGATTAGGCACTAGGCAGAAACTAGAATGCATTTGAAAGGGGAGGAGAAAAATGGGTGTCTCATCAGCAACTTGGGAGCAGGAAGTCATTGTCCCCCTTCTCTAGCTTTCTACTCTCTACCCATATCCCTTATAAATTCTGGGGAGGTCCTTGATCTCCAAGGCCCCGTCTACACAGGCCTCAGCTACCCGGATAACATTCCATTGACTCTCTGGATACAATCCCAGAGGCAAGTCCAGGCATCCAAACTCAAATGAGGTTGGGAGCTGAGTAATCAGCTGCTATGGCTATGCAGACATTTTGTCGGGGAACAACCAGCTCCCCACCCCCACCTCTTTGGATTTTTTGGGGTGGAGGAGGGGCGGCCTGTCACTGGGTGTCTTTCCACCCTGCTCCCACCACCACATTCTCCCTCTTCCCACCTGCAAGTAATTTGGCCAATGGGAGGGCAGTTAAGATTGCAGCGTGGAATCCCTCTAGATCTGTGTGCATTTGGTGAGGAAGGGGCTACCTCGTTTCCCCCCAGACCCCGTGTGCCCTTTTCCTCCTCACAGCGGCAAATTACTTGCAATTATCTCACATTGAAAGCCTTCAGGAGCTGCTTCCAGAATTGCTTTAATTGAATTAATTGATCTCATTTTGTTGGGGGAAGCATGAGGGACATGTCTTAAAATAGTATAGGGGGAGAGGGAAGGAGAGTGGCCCAGAAGGGAGGGGAAGCCCCAAGTCAGCTCTCCTGCGGGCCGAGCCCCTTGTAGGTGATAGCATGTGCCCTGGACATTCTTCAGACACATCTTCCCATTTCCCGGTTTCAGCTGATTTCAGATGCAATGTGCCACCTTGCATCTGCGACCTTGCCTGTGTTCTGCTGTCAGATGGTGGGGACCAGGATATGTTGAGCCCCAGGTGTGCCAAAGGCAGGAGGTGAATGGGCAGATGGCAGTATGAACTGCCCTCACCTTAACCCCTCCCCTTGCCCATAATCACACAGCAGCTGGAAATGCTGTTCATTAAGTGCTTACTATGTTCCAGGCACCGTGTCAAACATGTTATAAGCACTATCTCATTTTGTCATCACAACCGTACCAGGAAGCAAGTCGTATTAGTATTCCTATCTTGGGGGGAGGGGGAGGCTGAGAGAGAGGTTAAGTAACTTGTCAGAAGTCACACAACTAGCAGGTGGCAGAGCTGGGACCCTTTGGAGGCCAAAGCCCCTGTTCTTAACCACTCAGTCTTGTTCCCCCTCCTAACTGAGCTAATTTTCCCAGTGCAGCAGCTCCTCATGGGAGGAAACGGCTTAAAGGAAGGGACTGTGGCCCCTCCTCCACTGGGGCTCCAACCCCATCACCACCCAGAGCCCAGGGAAAGCGGACCAGCTCCCAAGTGGAAGAGAGATCCCGGTTTCCCCTGAAAAGGGCAGACAGGGGTAAGGAAGAGGGGGATGCTGTCAGCTGGGCTGGCCTCTGGCGGAGAGAGTAATTACACTCCTCCTGCTACTTAACTTTACAACCTGGGCTGTTGTTTTAACGATGCACTGTGTTGGGCTGTCCAATTAATCTCGCCTTTGGAGGCTTTCCGAGATGGGGCGGTAGATCTTATCTCGGGTCTGTAGAAAGAGGAGTGTGCAACCTGCAGTGGGAGGGAACAGCTGCCCTGAGGGCCTGTGGCCTCAGAGGAGACCCAGAGAAGGGATCTGGGACTAGGGCCACAAAAAGCTGGTGGAGACCAGGGACCTGGGGGCAGGGGAAGGCGCTGGAGGGAAGAGATGTTTGTCCTCCCATTCCTCACTGCTCCCCACCTGTGCCATCTGCCATCCCCAAGAGAATCCTCCATGTGTGTTTTGGGGCAGGCATAGGGGTGGCTATGACCCAGACCCACCAAGGAACAGGAGCCAAGGAGGAGAGACTGATTGCAGGTGTCTGGAGGTGGGGGACTTCCCCTCTACCCTACATATGACCCAAATCTGGGGATCTTTCTGGCCTACTGGAGTTGGCTGGAAGTGTCTGACTGGGGTTTTCACACTGGGGCAGGCCCTGAGTTCGCAGCACCTGGGAACAGGTTTAGGCAGTAAGAGGGAAGCTGGGCTTGGGAGCTCTTTTTGCCTGGAATTGAAGGCCCCTCCCCCAGCCCCTCAGGCCAGGCTGGGGTGGATTCCCAGCATTATTCCGCCCCCTGTCCTCAGCTCTCCCCACCCCCACCGTTCTCCTGATCCCTGGGGCTCTGTGGCCATGAATCTGCCCGCTGGATCCTGCTGCTCCCTGGCTGCCCACCCTTCTCACCTGGCACTGACCCCCTTGGCCCAGGCTGGATTGGGGTCCCTTGGCCTGTCACTTGACTCAAAAGTATCTGGTCAATTTGTCTGGCTCCCCGTTAGCCCAAAGCATCTGCCTCTGTCATCTTGGTATCCCCAGGATCTAAGGCAGAGCAGAGGATGTTTGTTGGATGAAAAACAATTCCTGTTCCTTCTGATGTTTTCCATCTCCTCCCCTTCCTCCTTCCCCATGATGAGCTGAAGCCATTCTATCCCCAAGCAGCAAACTTCTCCCAGTAGGACGGCGATGGCTCAGTGGGCAAGTCCTCTCCCAAGGTGTGCAGGGGTTCTCCCAGGGCTAAAGGAGGGGCACAGGGGCTGTCAGGTACCTGGCTCCCTCCAGAACTGGGCCAGGAGAGAATCCTCAGGTGAGGGTCACTCAGACCTTGGTCATTCCCAGCGTGGGCACCTTTTGGGTTCACACTGGAGCATATGAAACTATGGACATTATCAGAACACTCCAGAGCTAGAAGCACAGAGCTGGTGAGTGGCAGATGCAAATCTAGAATTCAGAGCCTCTGACTCCTAGTTCAATGGCAGCCTAGTCCAATGGGAGAGAAGAGATGAGCAATCAGCCCCCATCCTGGAAAAGTCAGGGAACAAACACACCTGGAAGCCAGGACCCACGTTTTTGTATTACACAAACTTTAATCTCTGGAAGCTTATATGGTGTGAAGGGTGGTAAGAGCTTGGGGGCTGCCAGTCAGATGGGTTATAAACCTGAGCAGTTCCTTTGGACACAGACAGCTGTGTGGAGCTGAATTGCCAGGCCTGCCCACCTGTTTGTGGATGCCGACAGCTGCACTCATCCAGGGAGCTTATTTGTCCCCCATTGCCACCAAAGTGTTACCCAACTGGGTTTCAGAGATGTGTGCACAGGGGTTTATTAGATATTAGGGGTGGGGGAAGAGGAGGAGCTAGCCTGTTAATAAATACCTATTGAATTCTATGGATAATTGGAGCCACTCTCTACCCAAACTGGGTAGACAAGGAGAGAATGAGGCTTGTTTAGGAGGAGAACACAAATTACCCATGGCCCACAAACTCCACATTTCTCCCCAACCCTTCTACTTCACAGGATGATGAGTGGGTGTATTAGTTATCAGGGTAATGGGCTGACCTCCAGGAAAAATCAGGGGGTCAGGGGACCCACTCTGGATGTCCATTTCTGCTTTTGCTCACAAACGGATTGGGCACAGCCCAAAGCACACAAAGAGAAAAAAAATACTCTTGCTGGTTTTGACTCCAGGCTGTAGTGGAGCTGCAGTCCTTTCAGGGGGGAGGGGAGGGAGAAGGAGAAGGGAGGAGAGGAAAAGGGAGAGGAGAGGGAGGAGGAAGGGAGTGGCAACATTAAGGACCCAGCGGGCGGTCTCAACTTCAGTCAGTGGCTCGCTCCAGATGGAGGGAAGGTGTCCAGTCCATGGTAGTGCTGGAAGGCAGTGGTTAAGGCTGAGGTCCTTGATTAGCTCTTTGGGTTGGGGGTACAGGACTCCACCCCATCCCTTTTCCTTCTCCAGCTCCTTGTCCTCCAGAGAATACCCATCTGGAGCTGGTTTTCTCCCAGCACAGAAGAGGTGCAGGTGGGTTGGGTCCTGGGCTTTGTAGGAGGGCTGGGGCTGACCTGCCCCTGCCTGGACTCACATCATTTGAGGCGGAGCCAGCACATCTGGGGAGTGATGCTGATACCAGGTGCCAAAGCTGTTGCCATAGCCACTGGTGGGCAGGGCCCCTGCCTTGGGTAGATCCCAGAGGGATGGTAGGGGTGGGGAGCAGGGAGACACTGAAGGGGTCCTCCCAGGGAAGTCCCCTTCCTGTCCCCCAGAGTTCTGTTTCAGGAGCTTCTTGTATTTGGAGCGCTTGTTCTGGAACCAGATCTTTACCTTTGGGGAGAAAAGGGGAAGAACAGAAGATCAGGAAGAGTGCACGTGTGGAAAGGTTCCAGAAAGGGAAAGGGACCCAGCTGCAGGGAGCAGCCCTGGGAGTTGAACAGAGGCTGGGGACATTTGCTCCATTGCCTCAGAAGTCCCTTAAGTTCCTGCCTCTCAGCTAGTATGTAGTTCTCCCTGTCTGATGTACTCTCCTCTACCTGACCCCCCCCAGTACTCGCCTTTCAACACACATCCCCCCAATACTGAGACCAGCTATGAACACTCCCTGGAGAACTGTGACGGCAAGGCCAGGTAAACACATTGGTCACTCACACCTGGGGGATGAGTTCCCAGAGAACACACTGGGGAAGGTCAGAGCGAGGGAGGGATGGGACTGGCCCCACCTGGGTCTGGGTGAGGCCGAGCTGCGCGGCCAGCTGGGCCCTCTCCGGCAGCGCCAGGTACTGCGTGTGCTGGAAGCGCTGGTTCAGGTGCTGCAGCTGCAGGCTCGAATAGATGGTCCTGGGCTTGCGCAGCTTCTTGGCCGGGGCCTGCGGGCGCCCGTCCGAGGGCTCTCGGGACAGCAGCGGCTTCTCAGAGTCTGGGGGATAGAACAAGACGGTGGGCGGTGGGAGGAGAGTGAGGGGGTAGGACGGCTCACTCGCATCTCGTGTGCATGCCGCCCACGGATTGGCAAAAAACGCAACCACCGAGCTCGCCCCTTCGTCAAGCTCTTTTCAACCCCAGCCACGCTGGCTGTGCGCCGGGTGATACACGACGCAGTTCTGCTCTCAGGGGGCTCCCACTCTTACGGGCCCTGTGAAAGCACCAAGGGCCAGAACGAGGGGAGCACGGCGCCTGCGGTGGGAGGTCGGAGTTCAGCCGCTGCGGCGGCGCCAGCCAGGGGTAGGGCGGGGCAGAGAGGCTCGGTTGAGGGCTGAGCCAAGGCCTGGAGATGACAGAGGAAGGGCATTCCGGGCGGAGGGGACTCAAAAGTAATGCTCAGAGGCTCGAGATGGTGTCCGCGTGGCAACCTCTAGCTTCCGCAAGAGGGGTTGGTCAGAGGCTGGGCTGAGCGGACCTTGAATGCTAGCATCGCGGGCGTGGAAAGTGACCCCCAGGGTTTGCCATCGCCTCTGAGGCGTGCCCTGCGGGAAAAGTGACCATCTCTCCCTTCCCCCGTGGCCAGCTGGTTTTCAAGGACCTCAGGAACCAGGTCAGCGTGGAGCAGCCCCTTCCACCACTCTGCCGCACCCACGGAGGGGTTCTGGCGTGGCAGGGAAGGTGACCCGGGGTCCGAGAGCGCGCAGCGCAGGCCGGCGGGGCCGCTCCTGGATCGCGCTGCGGTGCCAGCACGGGAGATCTGGTCACCTCCTGCCTGCCTTGCTCTCCTGGAATTTCTGCTGTGGGACAGCTCGGCCCTGGAATGCGGGCGTGGGGTGGGAGCGAGGGGTTTCTGTCCTTCCCACCCAGCAGCCCCAATCTGCGTCACTGTACGGGACACCGGAGACCGTCCCTGGCAGATGGGAAGGGTAGGGTGGATGAAGCAGCCGAAATGCCCGCGGGCTTAGGGCAATGTTCGCCGCATTCCACGCGGGTCTGTTCCCCCAACGCGAGCAGGGAGAACGCACAGCCCAGTGAGTGCACAGACGTGGCTTGTGTCCGCCCTCGTACTCCCGCCGTTTTCCCCTAGTCGGGCGCACACGTCAGGGTGCCAGCCCTGAGCCAGCCACGGTCAACAGAGCCTGCACCTCCCCTGCATCCCTCACCCGTGGCCTCAGGCGCTGCGGGCTTCTCAGATCCTCCCTCCTCGACCCCTGCCTCAGCCAATTCCCAGAAAAACCGTAGGGTTTCCGCTCCCGCCCGCGCCTGTCCTGCCTATCCTGCCTCGACCCCACTGCTTGCAGCCCTGGGCAGGCAGCCGAGCGACCACCCGCGCCTCTCTGGCTGCGGGGACCCAGCGATTCGAGCGGTGACGCAGAGAGAGCCGCGCCGGCAGACCCGCTGCTGAACTCTCAGAGCCCTCCGCGCCCCAACTCTCCGAGCAGACCCCCCTGCAAGTTCCTTCCCAACAGCTGCCTTTCTCTACACCAGTTACAGCAAGTCACTACCAAATCTGTCCTCGTCGCGATAACCGAGCCCCAGGGCCTCGCTCCAGGCGCGGCCGCGCCCGCCGGCTCTACGCGCTGACCCCACGGCTCACTTGGAGCCAAACCTCTCCCTGGGGCGGGGGTGGACCTAGAATGGGGGTAAAGGGGGACCCCAAGCCCTCTCTCACACCCCAATCACCCTTGTAGGGTGGGCAGAACCTGCCAATTCTAGTAGAGAAATGCTTGAAATCTATTCTGAAGACATCTCTGTGTGTGCAGTTTTTCGTTGGATCAGGGAAAGTAGGGAAAGAAAATGGAACTCTCCACTCCGTTGTCCTTAGACCACACAAAGGAAAGGCATGGGGTGTGGGAGACAGGACTGACAAAGCCGACCCCACTGCCAACAATTGTCTTAAGGACAAGGTTGTGTTATTCCCATCCATTCCCCAAACACACCTAAGCACACGCACAGGCACACACAGATATGCCCTCTTAGCTCACACTGAAGGAAAGTCCGAGGGATTCCTCTGTAGCAACCAGAGCTACCCCCACCCCAGCTGCCCCTGCTCCAACCACACCCAGCAGTCTGGGAGAGGCAGCCCCAGCTCTGCCACGGAAGGCAGTTAACTGTTGGGGATTCAGAGGAAGTTCCCTAAAATCCACTTCCCTGGCCCCACTCAGTAAAAGACTATTTGCAAGAGCCTGGAAAACAGGATGTGTCCTTGACCCATCCACACCCTGTCTTCAGGCCTCAGTTTGCTCATCTGTACGTCAAGGAGATTGAACTCCAGAATCCTAGGGTCACTTCTGGCTCTGATGGTTTGTGAGCTCCTATGCCAGAGCCACAGAGGAAGGGAGGAAGATGTCTTGGTCCTGGCTGACTCCAGCAAAGTCACCTAGTGGATGTGCATCCTTGGAAGCAACTGTGCCAAAGACAATTGTGGGGCAATTAGATGGGGGCAGAGAGTGCAGGGGACCTAGTGTCTGAGCGGAGCCAGTGCAAATGGGTTTCAGTGAGGCGTCCATGCCCACAATGTGTCAGCTCAGCCCTGTAAGGCCCAGGACCAGGAAGACAGGCTAGCTTCTTAGCTTCATGGAGGCCTTCCAATGAGCACTTTCTTAGGAGCTCAAAGTCACTCTGAAAACAGGAACTGGGGCCTAAAGTCAAGAGGTAAAGATGACAGGGATGGCCCGCTCCTTCGGCTGGGAGGCTGAGGTAGCCAAGGAGAGATGAGAGACTTCCAGACCAGCTTTTGGTTCCATTCTTAGAACAATGGATGGTGGGGTCCTAGCCCCAGATTCTGCCAGGCTAGCTTCCAGTCAAGGTCAGGCAAGGTCTGAGGAGAGGCAATAAGGCCAGTGGAGGGAGAGGAAGGAGTCCAGCATAAGCCTTGACATTTACAGCCCTCCAGCGGGGGTTTGATTTCTGTTTATAGGGGACAAGAGGAATGGGGAGAGGGGTAACAAGGGGAAAGAAGAGAGTGCAGGATGGGGCGAATCCTGAGGAGGGGGCTAGGCCCCCACCCCCACATCTGGATTGCTTCAGTTGTCCGTTACACATAGGTACATACCACCCCGCTGCTCCAGGGGCTGGGGTGGGGAGGCCTCCCGCCTGGCTTCGCACAACAGCAAATCGAAACCAGGTCGGTTTTGAAAGGAGACCTAGATCAACTCGCCCCCGCCCCTCCCCCCCCCCCCCCCCCCCCCCCCCCCCCCCGCGTCTCCCGCCCCATCCCTTCGCCCTCCCCCACCCCCAGATCCCGTGGAATCAGAGTAAGGTTTGAATCCTGTTAGCTGCGTCCAGCCAGGCGAGGGCTAGGTTTAGGGGCGCACAGGAGCCGAACCCCAGAAGTGAGAAGAGCCGCCGCGGCCGGACTTACCTGCCTCCGGTTTCTGTGGGTGCTCCGCGGGGCCACAGAGCGGCTGCGAAGGCGCCGCGGGTTGCTGGCAGGGCAGGTAGGAGTCCCTGGGGGTCGCTGGCCCGGAGTAGGGGTAGGACAGGAGGTGGCCATACGGCCCGGAGTAGGACAAATCGGGGGAGGCTGCGGTTGTGGGGGACAGGCCAAGCGGGTAGGCAGCCACTACCGACGGGACGGGGGCGAGGTCTGGGAAGACAGCTTTGGAGGCGTCCCGGCCAGGGAGGGGGCAGGGCACAGAGGTCATTACGGCCGGGGCCCGGGCCGGGGCCGAAGGGCCTAGGCCATGGCCCTGCACGTAGTCTGCTTCCTCCGCCAACTCTCTCTTTCCCTCGCCTCGGGCGTTGGGCCGGACGAGCCCCCCAGCCAGCCGCCCCCACACTTAAGATCCTGGGGAAAATGTCTCTCCGCGCCTCTTCCAGCGGAGAGCTCGCGCCCGGGAAAGGGGTTCCGGGGGGGTAACCCCCATGGCTTTCCCCTCCCCCCTAAATCCATGGGGGCCCCCCTCCTCTCCTTCGGGTTCGGTTCCCGGGACCCGACGGGGGCCCCGCCCACCCAGACGCCTCAGATTGGCTACTGCATGCAGTGACCTCACGGAGGCCTGGAGCCGGGCCCCGCCTCCCTGGGGCTGCCGGCTGTGAGAAGTGGGAAATGGGAGAGGGACTGTGCACACGCTCTGGGCCCCTCTATCTAGGGTCTTTTCCGAGAGGGGTACTAGGGTTGCAGGTCGATTGGTGCAATCCAGGAACTTTGGTAATAATGACAGAAATGCTACGGAGTTGGCGGGCCTGGATGCCCAAAGAGCGAGGGGAGCTGCGCGGTGGGCGGTGGTACAGTGGCTGCGGAGACGCTGGGAACCTGTGTTCGCAATCTCCCGCTCTCGGGGTTCTGCACGGCGATGCTGGTCCCTCTGCCGTGGACCTGCAGGGGAGTCAAGAATAGACAGCCAGTGCGGGTGGCTTATTCAGAGCGTCGGAATGTGCCGCTGCCAAGCGCGGGCAGTTAGTTGGTAAACAGACGCCCGGGCTAGGAGGGTGCCGCGGGGCGCCCAGCCTTCCCGGCACGCGTGCGCCGCGCACGCCCCCGCGGGGCGCCCTCGGCAGGGCACGCAGCGACCGCGGCGACTGCGCCTCGCAGTCCCCCGTGCGGGCTTCCGCTTCCGGCAGGGGCCCAGGCTTGGTTGCGACACCGCAGCTCCTGAAGGCCCCCGAGGCTGCAGGAGGGATCTGCCATCTGGGCTTCAGCTCGTGGGGCGCCCCGCCTTTCCTGGCGCCGCATGGGGCTGAAGCCTTGTACGAACTGGGACAAAATCCAGGAGTGGGAGATGAGTCCACTTTGATGGCTTTTGGGGGGGCACAAGAAACACAACAGGCCAGTCTTGCTGGCCGCATTTTCCAAGCTATGTGCAGGACCTACCTGTAAACATTAGTACCCATGGCCTGGATGGACACGTGTCCACATGTACACAACTACACTGGGGGACACCATTCAAATATAACAAATACTCGCATCTACCAATATACAGGTGTCTACACAGATGTACACACTACCATCGTTCTATGAAAGGAGAGGCTCATTTATGGATCTGCAAACACATTGTGTAGGTTGTGAATTATACACATACACCCACCCAGAGATAAATAGTGCTACCCCTGAATAAAGGCACTATGCAGTACTTGTTGGTTACACCTATCGGTGAATATCCAAGTCAAATCACTAGTGTACATATTCGAAAATACAGAAAATCCCAGCGCATGAGAATTTATGCACATGTCCACGCACATCTAACCTGCTTCATGTCAGGGGAGAGACCATTCCATTCCCTAACTCTCCAGTCCTCGCAGATTCCCCAGCCTACCCGTACACCTTTTTCCCACTTGAGTATGCAACTTGACAGGCACATTCAGGTTTGTAATTTCATTATCAGGGCTCAGAGTGACAGTAGCAGTCTCAGAATTGGGGGATGGGAGAGGACAATGTTAAGAGGAAGAAGGAATCCTGGAAGTAGAAGAGGGCACTAGGGGGTGACCAGGCCCAGGCCTTCTTGGAGAGGCAGAAAATCAGCTGAAGGGTGTGGTTGAAGCCCACAGTCAGGTGTGCTGCAGGGAGAAAGAGCAAGTCTACTTCAAACTGGACCCCCACTGGAATGGCTGGGGACAGGTTTTTCCAAGAAAACATTCCTCTGGCACCAGGTTTGGAGTTCTCCAAACTGAAGCCTTGGAGCTGGGAAGAAGGGACTCTGTAGGGGGGTCCTCTCCTCTAGGCAGCTGGAGAACCCACTCCTCTCTCATCCAACAGGGTATGGAGGGTTTGGTGAGTAGAGAAATGCTTTCTCCATGTGGGACCACCTTTCTCTCTTTCCTACCCAGCTGTGCCTGTGCCACAAGCTCCCTAGAGCTGGGGCTGTGAACCTCAGTGTATATCCTTCCAGGCCTTCCTCTCCCCCTCCTTTGTTTTCCTCTGGAGGCAGGCAGCCACACAGCAGTGCTGTGCTGGGGTTCCAGGGAAGGCATCTCAGGGTGCACCAAAGGAAAAGAATGCTTTTTGGGGCAGGGTTGGCTGTCAACAAAAGAAGGACACTTCCTCCCAGGGCCACGTGGGTACCTAGAGTCCTTTCTGTGTCGGACGTGGGAAGGAAGGGTAGGCGTGGGTTTTCTGGCAGGCCTCTGCAGCACTTGGCTTTGGGCATCCTCCAAAGCCAGGAGATCCATAGTAAGTGCCTCTCCTAAGCTCTTGGGGGGGGGGCACTCTCAACTCCCACAGGATTATCACCCCTATGCAGCAGCAGGAAACACCCTACAGCTCTTTGGAACGTGTCAAACACAACATCCAAGTCCTGTGCATCTTCACACACATACACACAAACCCCTGGTGAAGAAGGTACTATTGTTATCCCCACTTAAAAATTGATTGATTGAGTTGGGGGTCTCACTATGCTGCCCAGGCTGGTCTCAAACTCCTAGGCTCATGCCATCTTCCCACATCAGCCTCCCAAATAGCTGAGACTACAGGCTCCTGCCCAGCTTTTCACAAATGAAGAAAGGTCTCCCTCCATCTTCCTCCTCCAGAGGGTGTGGGGCTGCAGTACCTGCTGGGAAACCTTGGGGTCTCCTCAGGTGCAGTATCCCCAAGAGAGGGGTCCTCTTCAATAGGAGTTGAATCTCCCCCATCAGGAAAGATGGGAGTGATCGGATGGGGGCTGGTAGGCAGTAATTCTGTTTGATGCGGAGGGAGGAAGCCCTGACTTGAGAGGCCTGAGGCTGGGTTCCCATCCAGCTCAGTGACAAAGCTGCTGGCTGTGGTATTCTGGGTCAGCCATTTCCTGTCACTGAGACTAGTTTATCCAGAAGGGGATAAAGGGAGGGAGCTGGACTAAGAACTCCAAGGTGTTGCCATTTGCTTTATGATGAATTGCAAAAACCAAAATCCAAAAGCAATAAAACCAAGAAGGGGGGAGGGGCGGAGGGAGGGGGCAAGGAAGGAAGGAAAGAACTCTATAGAGTTCTCGGCCCCTCTGAATCACAAAGTTAGAAGTGGCCCTCCCAACTCTTTGGGGCCCACTGGAAGAACCCCAGCATTGTGGCGACGCCATAGGGCAGACCACAGGGTCTGGAGAGGGGACACCGCGCCGCGGAGGTCTCGGGAGTTGGCCCAGGCGCGGCGATTGGACCTGCTCCGCGCGCTGCTCAATAGTTTGTTGGCTTCAAGCGAGTCGCCGGGCAAACGCCGGTAACGATCGCTTGCGCCACTCAAGCACCCGCTGCGGTGGATGTATTCCTTGCTTGAGGTCACCTTGAGTTTCGATACCCCCCACCCGTGGCAAGAACTCCCTCCGAACCAGCACCGGTTCCTGGCGGTTCATCACCCGCACTCCAGCCCATGGTGGGCGCCGCGCTCCCCGCACAGTGGCAGGGCTAGGGCCGGTGCGGACCGCACCTCCCTGAGCAAAGGTCTGCGTCTACATCTGGAGCAGGGCGCTGAGGTCTGTAACCCCAGCCGCTCTCAGAGCCGCACCTGCAGGGATGTGCTCCACGCGGCCCCTGTCCTGGGTGTCCCGGCCCTTTCTCCTCCACTCCACCAACAGTCCCCAAACGAACTTTTAGTCTAGTTTTGCCTGTTCTCAGTGGATTTTGAATTCGACTTGGTGGAGCCTTTCTTAGTAACTAGGTTCGGGGAAATTTTGTGAATAATTCGGTTTGGCGTGGGGGATGGGTGGGTGGAGGTGGGGACGAAAGGAATCGATCGTTCCCCGACCTCTGTCCGCTCTGGTCGGTGCGCCATGGATAGACGCCCCGCGTTCAGCGAGGTCCGGAGAAGGGGCAGTGTCTAGAGGCCTGCGTCCTCCTCTCCAATTTGACTTTTCTTGAAATTTGGAATTATTGCGCTTCTTCCCCTCTTTCTGATGGAGTATTTAATCGCCGGTGCAAGGCCGGCGGCGGCTGGTTACTGAGGTCACTGTGAGCTCGGCCGCGCGCTCCCACGTGCTCCCACAGCGCTCACCTCCACGCTCCCCTGGGAGCTTTCGCTGCGACTGGAGTTCCCGCCTCATTTTACAAATGACCCCGAGAAGCTCCCGGGGGTGGGGAGGGGAGAGGCCTAGGGGTCAGCGCCAGCTAGATCCCGGCTCCGCTAGGCAATTAGGCTCCCCGCTGGGGTCTCCCGCTCCGCCCGCAGCGACGCTCTCCAGGAGTCGTCTGTGCTTTAGTTCCAAATTTCCTGGAGCCTCCGCTCCGGGAAAAATCTCCTCTTTGATTTGACTGGGATGTATTAAGTACACATGTATATGAAGTCGCCAAACATATTAAAAACAAAACTACGAACAACTCTCGGACCGGACCCTCCTTTCAAAAACAAGAGAACGGTTAACACAAATGGAAAGGGTTTGAGGGTGCGCTGGAGGCGCCCTGCGGCGCCGGACTTCGCCCAGTGCGGGAGCGGGGAATGGCCTGGGGTGGGGAGCGCATAGGCGCCAGGCTCAATGGCCTAGGGAGCGGGAGTTCTCCGCGCGGTGTCGCTGGCCCAGCGAACCGGAGGGAGGTGCCTGCACCCGGAGCTTGGGCGGACAGACCCGGGGATGGCGAGCCAGGCGCTCCGGTGGGGGCGCGGCGGGCTGGCGGGAGGCTCTGAGGCCAACCCGGATGCAACGAATTCGCCATGCCGGAAACGAAGGCAGCTCGGCCCTGATCTTCAGACCTTCCCAGACTCAGACACAAAAATTAGGGCGTTCTTCCGACGTCCTCATCGCCCGGACCCGGGTGAAAACCGGAGGTAGGACTGGCCGAAGTTGGAAAGTTCAGCTGGCTCGCAACAACGGAGCGAGTGTGTGCACGCGCGCACACAACGTAGCACATAGCACACACCCACACACCAGAGACACACGTACTCCCACAACCTACTCGCCTCAGCGCGCACACGCGCAATACACGCAGCACATACCCTCCACGCGCACCCCGCCCCAGAACACACATTACTCACGCCTGCCCTCTGGACCCCCTGGATTTGGTGGAGGGTCTGTAAGGGTGGGGGTATTGGTTTAATTTTCTA